CCTAAGATGACATCTGTAATACAAGTGATCGTCAGCCGTTATACGTTGAAACGACGCGCAACTCACGTGTGTAGACCGCGTCTCTTCTGTTTCATACATTTTATATGGAAGTGGTTTCTTTAAACGTGAAAATGGGACCAAGAATCCGGGGTCGCTCTAAGAAGCCTTTGAACGTCCCAGGAGACTTCTGAGCTTCTAGAAAGACCTGGATTGGCTAACATAGTCAACTGTCCCACCCAACGCATAAAGCACCATCTTCGAATCTAAATGCGGAAAAGGGAGCCCACAATACAATACAATACTAAGGGACCAGGAAATTGCAGCAAACTACAAAAGTTATAAAACCACACGTAACCGATACCGCAGAGACCGTTTCGCAAAAAACCGTTTGTCAAAACAACGAGCAAACTTATTCCAGACCAAAACGATTTGCAAACACAGACACTCTTGCTAACTGTATAAATCATGTCATACTGGCAACAATGCGACCTCACCTTTAGGAGTTTAGAGCTGGCAACTTTCTTGGCAAAAGTTACAGAATTGAAACGCAAGCGAAATGGTGAAAGTTTTGCCACGAAGCGAGACACTTCGCGTAATTTAGCAATAAATACTTCTTCTTTGTGGGTTTTGGGGTCGAAAGAAGACCCGGTGAAATTTCCAAACTTTAGTATACAACGATCCAATTTATAACATCGACTAATTGTTGGTCAATAATATTTATCTACTGATGGCTCATTCGGTACCAGCGACGACTTTGACGCTTACTGACTTTAAACTGGAATCTCAAAGGAACTCAATGTTACTAGGTAAGAAGATGGTTGCAACGAACGTCATATATCTTGGATTAAAATTGGCTCAGAATAAAAATGACGTTCTTGTATCAGATATTTTCTCTTTGGATATTCTTATTTAATGAGATTTTTGACAGTAGCAACCCTGGCTATGTAACAAGTGACAATCGCGAAAATCCTAAATAGGGTCGAGTTTATCTCATTTAAACTGTATATTTTGTACTACCACATACCAGTAACGTCACATCAAGCCACTAACATGACTGAATTCTCTTTTCTATAAAACCTACATTCTCCGACCAATACTAAACTTTGCGGTCTTTCGAAAAAAACAAAAATAAGTATTTTGTTGTCGTGCAATGTAGAAAGTGCTGCAGGCAGCAGCGGCGAAAAGTGAAACCTGTCACTATTCTGTGAAAAAAGGGCGGCGCTGTAAAGCCTGCCACTCGCAATATCTAAGAACGCTGTTTTTCAAGTTCACCTAGCGCCTTTGCAAAACACTTTGAAGTTAGGAACAGTGAAGCTCACGCTGCTTTAGACAGCCGAAAAGACTTACATTGGCGATTCAAGCACAAATTAGGAAAAAGGCGCGCGGGGCGCCTTTACTCACTCAGTACTTGCGAAGACTTTTACGCTTACTGACTTTACTGGAATATCGGAGAAACTCCAACTAAGACGATAGTGACCACGAACGTCATATTTCTTGGATAAAAATTGGCTCATATGAAGATCTTGTACCAAACTGCTGCTTTAATATTCTTATACTCGTACTTTGATATTTTTGAGAGTAGCAACCTTTTTTTTTTTTTTTTTTTTTTTATTTATGATGGGCTTACTCTTGACCCCAATCTCACCCTACAGCAGAGATGGGATCTACGGTGGAGCGAGCTTGCCCAGAAGATGCCTATTCACTCCTTGCTATGTAACCAGTGACAATCGCGAAAATTCTACATAGAATCGAGTGATCCTTCTGTAAACTTTTTATTTTGTACTGTAGGTATTTGTGCTCGACTATAACTCTACCTAGGTTCGCTATTGTCAAAACAAGTCATATTACTCTTAATACAAACATACACAACAATAAACATGCGCATAAGTCACAACTTCCCCTTATAAAGTTGGGCAATATCAGCAAATTACAGTTGCCATGTCTTCGTGTCCCCTTCGGTTATGCCCTCGTATAATTATACACGGCGAGTACCTACTAAGGGGCTCGAGGGTTTCGTATGTATTACAATTTTCTAACAACTTTTACTACGAAGATATTTTTCTGAAACATCCCTGAGGGCATAAAAATTTATTGTTATTTAAAGATAAATATTTTTTTACGTACGATTACGCTCTGCCTTAAAAGTGCCCGAAGAACGTCATATTTGTTGGATTAAAATTTACTTTGTATCATATGAGATTTTTGTATCAGATTTCGCTGTTTTAATATTCTCACACTTTGAGATTTTTTACAGTAGTAACCCTATGTAACAAATGACAATCGCTAAACCGCTGGAAAGGGTCGAGTGAACCTTCTGTAAACTCCCTATTTTGTGGCAGGGTAGCCAGCCACTAAACATGTCAAAGCACACTGAACTCTTTGAATCAATGTAAACAAGTGTAATCCACCGATAATCTACCGTTTAAACAGGTAAATTATTCGATTGGAACCACAAATGATGAACATTTCCGAGAAATGCGGCGTTTCCCTGTAAATCAACATCGGCTCGAAGTTTATTTGATTTCCATTACCCAGTATAGACTGGTCCGTTAAATTGTGGATCTGTATTTGCTAGTTTCCATTGGAGCGATAAATGTACCTATAATTCGTGGCGCTTTGTGAATATTGCGGGGAATACCGCAGTAGTGTTAGTACGAGTACGACTGCCTGCGACGCAGAAGGTTCCGGGTTCAGTTCCCGGTGGGGTCACTCACAAAGTTGTTCCCAGTCTGGTCAGGACATTGTAGGGGTCACTCACAAAATTGTTCCCAGTCTGGTCAGGACATTGTAGGCTGAACCACCTGATTGTCAGATGGTTCAGTGCTTCTGAGGACACGTTGAGCCGTCGGGCCCGGTTGCTGTCATTGATCATAATCATTTAGACGGCGGTCGTAACGCAACCATGTCAGAGGCATGCTATTTGCAGTAGGCGGTTGGAAAACTCTGACACCAGGGTTCATCGGGTCAGATAAAAAAATGCATTGTCTTGGAGCCAGCCATATTAACCTCACGGCATATAACACTGCTAATTCTGACAACCGATGTGGCGCAGTGGTTAGCATGCCTGCCTGCCACGCAAAGGTTCCGGGTTCAATTCCCGGTGGGGTCACTCACAAAGTTGATATTTATCACTTTGTGAATTTGTTCCCAGTCTGGTTAGGACATTGCAGGCTGAACCACCTGATTGTCCGCAAGTAAGATGGTTCCGTGCTTCGGATGGGCACGTTAAGCCGTCGGTCCCGGTTGCTGTCTGTGATGGCGGTCGTTACACAGCCATGTCAGAGGCCTGCTACTTGTAGTAGGCGGTTGAAAAACCCTGACACCAGGGTTCATCGGGTCGTTGAACGACTCGGTGTCCCACACGAAAAGAAAGAGAGACTGCTAATTTTGTCAATTTTACAAGTAGTAGCATGTTTATTATCGTTTAATATAAACTGGACTAAATAACCGCTCAAGAAACTGTCCTTGCTTGAACAAAACATAAAAAGTGATAATCCGACGCTCACAGGAGTTACCTAGAAATGCAAAATTGCTTTCAGATATTACGAACAGGAGATGCATTTTGTAAACGCCAGGCGCAAGCTCCATAGAGGAGACGTGGGACGTAAGATGGCATCTGTCAAATAAGTGATCGCCGGAGACGTGAAACATATGCAACATCGCGACGCTTGAAACCGTTTTCATAAGGTAAAATGTACAACGTGTTACAAAACAACCCATAAAAACTCCCATACAAATGGAGGTCATTTTGTATGGGAGGTCCAAATTATTTTTTCATATTTCGACCCATGTTCCATAGGGAAAGTTGTTCAGTTTTACGAGTACCTTGACCTCCTTTCAGCTTTATTGGTTGTTTTGTAACACCCAGTATAAAACAGAAGTGACAATGCTACACATGCATGTGAGTCGCATCGATAACAGCTGACGATCGCTTATATTATAGTTTTGAACGGGATTTTACTTGTAATAAATATATGACGATCGCTTGTCTGACAGATGTCATGTTGCGCGTCGCATCGCACGTCTATTCTGTGGAGCTTGCCTTTCATAAAGCGCATAAAATCATTTTCTATTTTACTACTTCACTGGCATAAAGAGTTTTCTACTAAAACGACTTGCAAATAAAAACGATCGAGATATCGTAAAATGAGACCATCTAGAATATTTTATTAAGCAACGTGAGTGCATAAAATCTCAACCCAATGCAATAAGAATGCATTGATCTTTGAATTTACGGCAAATGAATCAGCTAAATACCTACGTCACCTGACTCAATGGACCATAGAATTCAATGGATGTACTGGCATTCTGAAAACTCAATCACAGAGATTTGTGCTAACAATACAAGCTTCATTAGTTGGCATTGGTATTGTTTTGTTTACATTTTTTTTATCTAAGCGCCTAAAGAAGCCGGTACTAAACGCAACGCTAAGATGACCATGTGATGTTGTTTTTGTTGGATATTTAAATTATTCAATACACTAAGGTTTTCTGATTCTTTGAATTTCATTACATGTAGGCGTTGGACGCCCGCCGACTGATCGACCGATGAACCAAAGAGAGCAGCCGGTAGCGACTGGATGGAAAAACGGGCCTTATTACCCTGTGAGGGATGGCTACTTCATACCCACATTTTGCTATAGGGCAATGATGTGTTGTTGTTAAAAATTACGATCGACGATAAGTTAAATCGACGAAAAAGAACCTGAGACAGTCAGTAAGTTCCTCCACAACATCTCAAAACTTGACTTAGATGACTGTAGGTGGGCGAAGTTGTTAATTTGTGAAAATGTATGTTCCACCAAAATCTGTTAAACAGCCGTAAACACGGATATTTTGCCTTGTCTTTCGCCACACGTCATAAAAACGGACGCAGTATGGCTTCACGCCAACAATAGATGGCCATACCAACACAGAACTTCTACTCAAAATGCATCGTGAGGAAAAAGAAATCTGATACGTTAGAATGAATTGAAAATGAGAAAATTGAAAAATTCACTAGCGACCGCCAGGACTTGAAAACCCGGGACTGTGGATTACCGTTCCACCGCTCTACCAACTGAGCTACGGGCGCCTAGCGGACCCTGGTGAATTTTTCAACCTCTTGATGCTCGTTTCGATACGTTAGACTTCATGAACTGCCGGCTTAGAATAGCATCACCCCATTTGTTTGATCTATTTGTCTCCCGCTGGTGTCTTAAGATGGCTAAGGCACTCGAAGGTCTCATAAGTGTTACAATTTTAGGATACATGATACAACGGCCACTGATACATTTGTTAGACGTGGCGATAGGCCGATAACGCATTGCCTACCCCGCGAGAGGTAAGTAAAAACGTAATATGTGTCTTGGTCCATACGTGGAAAATGACTTTATATGAAACAACAATGTTTTGTGTTTTATTATACGGGGTGTTAGGGACGGTGTAACGAAAACTTTGCAGGCGTGCTCAGACCATCAAACTGAACAACTTTTACTATGGGGCCAATGGTGGGAAACGAAAAAACTTTTTCCGACTTCCATAATCGCTCGTCTGTGGCAAAGTCCCATATGGGACTTTGCCACAGACAAGGCCTACCTATAAAAAATGGCGCCACAGAGGAGAGGATAAAAAGTCAGTCAGCTGATCGTGAATTTTGTATGGGAGGCCGGAAATTTTTTTTCGTTTCCCGCCATTGGCTCCATAGTAAAAGTAGTTCAGTTTGATGGTCTGAACATGCCTGCAAAGTTTTCGGTGCACCGTCCCTAACACCTTGTATAAGTGGATAAACACCCTATTTGTGGCAACTACCGACTTTACCACGTCGCTCATTTCCTCTGTTTAATTTGAAGCCTTCATTAATTTTGCATTATAAGCCTTTTAACCAAAACATGCTCATTATGGTTAATAATGAAATGGATTAATAAAACAGTGCATGAATAACAATACTCTTTGTGCAGCATACAGTGTGCCATTGTGTTTATTTATAACAAGCCTAATTATTCAGAAACTAAAACCCGACTGCAATAATTTTAATCTGCCAATTTGAATTTATAAATCTTTTGATGTCATCATGTCCATAACAAAGAAGATGAATATAACGACACCCTATAAGAATGTTAAGCAAACACCCGTCAAGATGTTTAGGCTGTATCTAGCCCGTGAAAACGCATCTACCTACTTGTCCACACACACAAACATACCTACAATCTACCTACTACACTCTCAAAAAACATATCCCTTCTTCTGAGGCAATCGGGTAACAAATTGTCAACCCCGTTTGACCAAATTATGACAACACAGCACGTGCATTGTTTGTTGGATACCTACTTCGCAATTAGCATCGCTCCGAAACGTGATTGGTGTTCAAATTTCTGCTTGCGAAAGCAGCTATTATATGATGAGTGCACATGCACGCACATAATCGACCAAATTGCGGTTCATAACCGCCACCGTATTTAAGACAACCAGGGACAGCCGCAATCAGATGCGGTGACGTGTGTCATGATATCGAATTTGTATGAAACATAAGTCACAAAGTAAGTATTGGCTAGCGCATAAGTTCTTTCCTCAAAACTCTGAATCAGCCTAGAACGTGCACTGTAGAGACTTATCTCACACGCGAGCGAGAGTGTCAAATCATTATTTTTACTATGCCATAAAATGTGTAGAGAAAATCTATCGATGTCGCGCGTCACATGCTAGAAAAGCATAATGGCGCTTCTGACCAAATATTCGTATTGTGTCTGCCATAATAAGAATAACAGAGACATGTCAACGCAAGTTGCTCCTGCGGAAACGTCGGTTTTATGGGGATTCGAAATTGCCTTGCATCTGAGAGAGGCATGCGTTACGGATGCATGTGTGATACCCGCTGCAATCCCCGAGTGTGATAATCGCCTTGTCAGCTCAGATAGACACCGCAGAAATATGATTCCACGTCAAAAACCGAAATGATGGTTACAGTATGGCAAGACGCCAACATAGGTGCGTCTCATCGTTTCGGCCGGGAGGTCATGAGGCCATCGCTTTGATGTTCAACACGGACTTCGTAGGTGTAGAGAACTATTAATTAATAGTCTGAAAAGTTTACCTTTGAAATTAGCTCTTTCTTAACAGGCCAGATGGACGGATGTCTTACGAGGGCGACTGGAAAGCAAGTAAGTAAGATTTTCTCTACACTGTCATATCAAAAGTCTTCACTTGTTTTGATGACTCGCGACGTACGATTTTCTCTATACTGTCATATCAAAAGTTTTCACTTGTTTTGATGACTCGCGACAAAAGATTTTCTCTACACTCTCACATCAAAAGTTTTCACTTGTTTTTGATGACTCGGGACGTACGGTTTTCTCTACACTGTCGTATCAAAAGTCTTCACTTGTTTTAATGACTCGCGACGTACGATTTTCTCTACACTCTCATATCAAAAGTCTTCACTTGTTTTGATGACTCGCGACGTACGATTTTCTCTACACTGTCATATCAAAAGTCTTCACTTGTTTTAATGACTCGCGACGTACGATTTTCTCTACACTGTCATATCAAAAGTTTTCACTTGTTTTTGATGACTCGGGACGTACGGTTTTCTCTACACTGTCGTATCAAAAGTCTTCACTTGTTTTAATGACTCGCGACGTACGATTTTCTCTACACTCTCATATCAAAAGTCTTCACTTGTTTTGATGACTCGCGACGTACGATTTTCTCTACACTGTCATATCAAAAGTCTTCACTTGTTTTAATGACTCGCGACGTACGATTTTCTCTACACTGTCATATCAAAAGTCTTCACTTGTTTTGATGACTCGCGACGAACGATTTTCTCTACACTGTCATATCAAAAGTCTTCACTTATTTTGATGACTCGCAACGTAAGATTTTTCTCTACACTGTCGTATCAAAAGTCTTCAATCGTTTTGACAAATTCCATACGATTTGACACATCTTTGTCTTCTCACGTGTGTGATTGTTAAGTCTCTGTACAGTGCGCTGCGTATGCGAGCCATAAGTATCTGCTGGTGGAGGCCTACAGCAGAATGCTATTAGGCTGACGTGATGTGTGTGTAGATAATATAAAATACCAGATTTCATTGTAAAAAGTGAGAACTGTCGATTTATTTGAAAACAAGCGAATGTTACCATTTGTATGGGAAGTCGTCCTCATAAACGCCATTATCTCCAAAACCAGACATAGAAAGTGTTTGCCTTTACATATTTTTTCAAATACACCATATTACGTAACACATCAAAAGAATTGAATTTACCGTGCTTTTTCTTTACCTACATTTTCTGCGGTGTACTTTGTGATTTTACGTATTGGGAGCCCCTCAAATGATTTTTTATTTTATTCTAAGTTTTAGTGATTGTTAGCAGCAACAGAAATATGACGTCTGTAAAAATATCAGACACAAGTAAAAATACAAATGACAGACGGACAGACAGCAAAGTCTCAGTCATAGGGTTCCGTTTTCACCCTTCGGGTACGGAACCCAAAAAGTATTAATAAATTGATTTTGTTCAGCTGCAAGAAGTCACATGTCCATGCTTCAAATTATGTTAAATGGAATGATGAAAGGTTCATTAAATTAATAGGTAAATGCGTTTATTGGCTTGCGATTATTGCAACAAATTGTCCTACTTAAAAAAATGTATGATTGATTACTTTCTTACGTCAAAAACATATTTGCTTGGGTCGAACGAAACGTCACAAATATGTATAATCATTGTGAGATATGACAACTTTGGTGTCATATTTAAATAATCATACTTACACCGCGCGCAACGAAAAAACTGAACTAACTGAAATCCGGTGGATGTCTACGCACCAGCTACGACTTTTCGTAGTCCCTCTACGCCGCTACAGCGGTACGCTACGATATTCAAACTAGGTGGTTCTAGGCAAACATTATGGTCCTATTAAATTCACTGCAAATATTTTTACGGTATGACACACAAAATGACACATGTCTTAGACATTTTTGGAAGGTCCAAAATATTTGCCTACTAAGTTAAAACTTATTATCGACTTCTCAACTCGTTTGACCTTTTAATTTTTGTTTCCATGATTACTATTTACATTTTTTTGTAAATCGCGTGCACAGAACCTTAGATAAGGATCGCGTTACACGAAGGTAACTCACATGCAAGCATTCAAATGTAAAACTTAGAGTCATAAGCAAGCTATAGAGTGCGCGTATCGCCCGCGCCTTACTGTCAAACGTAAGCAGTTGCTCCATAGATTACGATGTCAACATTTGTGAGAAGCAATGGAGGTTCAATGGTGTTGTCACTGGCGTTTTGCTACTGATGGACAGGAGGTTGTGTTCTTACTAGTGCCACCCGTTCATACCCAGTAAGGCGCACTCTATAGCTAGCTTAATATATGTTTTAAAATGTAAAAGTATTTGACCGCGCTGTGCGTTTGTGTACCTGACCCTAAAATATTATAAAGATTACGTTTGGATTTATTGTTGTGCCAGAATTTGTAATTTAGACGCACGAGAGTGCGCTGGCCAAGTGAAAGCATGATAATTATATTATAAGCCTATATTTTTTTATGTTTTGTTATGCCGCGTGATGCCGGCTGGAATATTTTCTGTCTATCATCACCGCATATCTTTCCCGTGGATGTCGTAAAATAAGAAGCGACTAAGTGATTTGAGGATTGACGTGTATTGTAATTTTAGGCGAGAGGCTGACAACCTGTCGCTATGGTGATGTCTTCTGAATGACTCTCAAACTTTAGTCAGACGTGGTGTAATAGTTTAACACCACGTCTTTTTTTACGCTCTGCCTAGCAAGGCGTGATATAGGTATGTATGTTACATCACGAAAAATGTCAAAAGCTTCCCAAATATCCGCAATTTCCTTTGCAATTTCTTAAAATAAAAACACTATTTTAAATTGCAAGTAATTCAGTTTTTACTGTGGACGTCCAGTCATATCCACCAGCCAGTCAGTCTCTTGTCGTTCTTGTTTACGAAATTCATATTTCAAAAATAAAACACTGGCCACTTATAAAACCATTTCATCTGACTACATGACCGTGACCTACCTTGTCATATGACGTAAGTCCAGACATTGACCTGGATG